CCCCCCGCCCCAGCCTGCCGGTGCGTCCCGCCGCACTCGGCTTCGCGGGACGGGCAAACCCCCGCAACGGCCGTTTTCCTCCCTCCCCCCGCGGGGCAGCGCTGGGCCGCGGCCTGCCTCCCCTGCTGCCTGCGGAGGGGGGCGCTAGGCCCCGGCCAAATCAGTTTTGTTACATTGTTTCACAGTCTAATGCTTCCGTAGGAGCCTTAGGGAAGAAGTACTCCTACCGTCCTCTAAAAATTACCTTAAAGCTGAGTGTATGTTACGTATTTCCAACTTACAGATCATAATGCCAAATCGGTTACCTAGGAAACAACCCTGATAATGCCAGCATCGCCTGTAGAGTGGAACTTTAAAAAGCTCCCCATTTATTCATTCATGTTCACGACTGAGAGACAAAGCTTTAAAAGACTAAACAAGCCTGTAAGGTGTAAGCGACAGTAATTCTGTTGTGCAGCGAGGTCAGAGCAGTTCCGACTCCACAGGAAACGGAGCTAATAAACACACGGAGAAGACAGCAGTAGCAGTGGGTTATACTACAGCATTTCAGGTGACATCCCACTCTCAGGTAGATGGTTTTCACTAAACTAAGTCATGTAGAAATATTCTACGTACAAAAAAAAGTTAGTACACTGCCCTAGCAGAATACCAATCAAAACATTTAAGAGCTATTCTCTAGCTTTCCAGTACTGAAGTGCTAATTCAGAGACTTCAGACAGCACAAACCAGCATCTACCTGCTAGCTCCCTCAGTATTTTGTGCAGAAAGCAAGCTAAGTTTCAAAGGCCTCCAGTTTACTGACCAGCAATTAGCACCTACAATTTGCACATTCAAAATTGAGATTTATGAGAGCAGGAAGCCAAATTATGCAAGTTTCTCTTTTTAAAAAAAAAAAAAACAGAGTGAAGACAAGACATTTATTTTAACAAGACTAAGATTTAATTTTTAAAATTTGACATTTAATACAAATATGTCAGGATAACACAAATACACCTGAAATATGCCAGTGTCTGAACTTTTTATTTAACATGCAAAAAAAATCAATTAGAACACATAAAAAACCCAACTGTAAGCTGTAATTTTACATTTATACATCAGAAGTGTCCATTTTAAGAAGTTGAAATAATTAGTCAATAATACCTAAATACCGATTTATACTGCTAGAACATCTGTATACTCAAAGCAATATTCTATATTTGCCCACAGTCTGTAATGACAATTCTTCCATTTACTAGCCCTTTAGGAGAACCAAAGGATTCAATCTTTTTCACAACATCCATTCCATCTTTCACAAACCCAAATACCACATGCTTGAAGTCCAAGTGTTCCGCTTTTTTAAGTGTTATGAAGAACTGAGAATTATTCGTATCCCTGCCCTTATTTGCCATTGACAACAATCCAGGACCAGTGTGTTTCACTTCAAAATTCTCATCTTCAAATGCTGTTCCATAAATTGACCGTCCACCTGTTCCATCATGGTTAGTTATATCACCTCCCTTAATAAAATAAAAAAAGAGGGCACAGCATTAACTTACAAGTCCCAAAACATAAACCGACAGCACAACTATATTCCCTTTCAACAGTAAAGACTTTGGTTTGGAAGAAGAACTCATTCTTAGTTTTCACAAGTACTGTCTTTACTTAGACATAAGGCTTCCCAGCTGCAGCAGCTTTGTTCATGGTAATGGAAGCAGTAGTGGAAGGTTTATCCCTAACACAGCATTTTATCTTCCTGCTCCACATGATGACCGCTCCTCTAGGCCTGTCTTTCCCACAGCCTGCTTCCTGCATCACTGGGCCCTGATAGCCAGGACCTGCATTATCTTATTCTGTCCTTGCAGGCCCAGAATTGATCACCTGAAAAAGGTTAAGGTACTAATGATCTGTAATGTCTTGCTTCTGTGCAGGCAGCAGCATTTGCCACATTTACTGCTTGTTTAGGAGAGGAGCTACTGCTAGTGAGCAGCATCTTTTGTCTTTCTGCAAGGCAGCAAGCTTCTGGCTCCTGATTATTTGACTG